TTTTCTAATACAGGGATTGATGGCTGTGATGAAGACCACACTCGGTTCATCTCCTCCAGTCGGTACCTCCAAGTGTACCAGCTGCTGTGCTAGGCTCTTTGTTTTGATTCTCCTTCTGCTCCCAAGACAGTTCTCCAAGATAGAGATTATGATCAGGAGAAACTCGGTTAGTTCCTCATGCACTAAGAATGAAATACTCAGCGACTGAAGTACTGCCTGGTTATGCAGTGTCTGGGTCTGGGAAACAGTCTCAACTCACTGTGCTGGTTTCTGATTCTATCCTTACCTGAGCCTTCCCATCTGGCAAATTGAAGTGGAAAACACTGAACTCGCTCCCCAGAGGGGCTATGTTATTATATACATGTTTTGCATTATTTTGGTTTGAATAACAGCATATGTAAATGTGCTCCTGGAGGTTAAAATTACCCTTATTTTGTAAAACTTGGCCTCTCCCACTGGGGTAAACAGTTGCAAATTATGGGGAAGAGAAGGCAAGCTGGAGAGAAGGTTAGCTGCCTTGGAGCTGTGTCTCCTCTTCGTCACCCAAAACATACTTCTATTCAGCTGCCACCACAGAATGACAGTAGGTTTCTTATCACAGAGTCCCATCTTGTTTGGATACTCAGTGTCCAGGGTGGGTTTTGATCCAGATATTAATCACCAGCTCTGCATCAGGTAGATGCAAAGGGGCAGATGTTCTTGCTAAGAAAAATGAAGCCTCCGGTGGCACCTGGAAGCCCTTATCACACCTGGTCCCCAGCCAAATCAGAGAGATTCTGGTTAACGCTGGCACATCACAGCCCCCAGCCATTTCACTCCCATTGCGAGGTTGGCATGGCCCGGGACCTTGGTTCTCTCCCTCAGGCCCAGCATTGTTGAGCCATCCCTATCTTAAACTGCCTTTCCTGGCACTTGAATCATCACTTCGATGATGTGATAATATCTGCAAGTTGGGAAAATAAAAGTGGCATTTGTTTAGCCATAATTAATGAAATATTTATGTTGCATGAGACTATGTGATAAAACCTTAGGCTTAGAGTCCTTTTGCTTCTGATTACATTTGGGATTTTTTTTTCTATGACCAGACATTCTGACGCCAGCTCTTTTACACTGAGCAGATGTCATGTAGTAAAAATGGGTGCCAGATGCTGTGAGCCGCAGAAGGGCGATTTAAGAGCTGGCTCTGACTTTTTTTTTTTTTTTTTTTTTTTTTTTGCATTCAATTACTCTGCAGAACAAACCTTACACAAGCGTTTAGGTAATTCAGCTAACTTCAGACATGCATTTTAATAATAGATTTCATCTCTGAATGCATTGTAAACACACCGCACACCATATAAATGGTGTTTAAGGAATTAATTGATTTCTGCATAATACTTTTTTTTAATGTGAGGAGAGCTGCAAAGCTCTTGGCAGGGATCCAGAAATGTAATTAACGCGGAGGGCCACATTTGCAGTTGCCCTTAGGTACTGCCTCTCCCAGCTCCTGGCAGGTGCAGAGAGGAAAGGAGTGTGGTGAGCGGTGAGGGGGCAGGAGGGACAGCTTTGGGGGTGAAGCATGAACAGAAACTAACAGTTTGGTGAACTCTTCTGTTCCCATTTCAGGATCCAAGCATGATCAAGTTGGGGTACAGGTGAAAGAGGCTACCTCTTCTCTCTCTTCTACCACCTCCTCCTCTGCAGATGAAGAATCTGACCCCCAGCTTTCCCCAGGGCCACAGGTAACATCACTTGGAAAACCCACCATGGCATCAGTCCATGGGGACCATTTACCATCCAGATTTCAGACCCAATGTGGGCTCCAGCTGCAGAGATTTCACCAGGAGGATCTCACTTTATTGCATCTGACAGCAGCCCTTCTTTTTACCTGGAACCCCCCAAGAATTGTCTTCTTCAAAACATTTTCCCAGAGACTCAAACTGGGGAAGAGTGAAAAAAAAGAAACACACATATTTACTTGAAACCATTTGGTGACTGCAGCTCCTAAAGTGGAATTAATATGTGGTTCAACAGGAAAACCATTCAAAAAATTACAACAAGCAGATGCATATGTCCCCAAGGGAGGCACAGCTTCATTTAAGAAGCACTAGGGGCAGATTGCATGGAAAATGTTATGTTTATTCCAATCAGGACTATGAAATGAACCGTGCAGTTGCATGTAGACATGGGCACCCCAGGATCCTACTGGGGAAGGGACTTAGCTATGTACCCACTGGGGAGACTGCGATGTTCTTTGCTTGGTGACATACATGGAGGTCACATACATGGAGACAAGCGTCCATGACAAGGACTCACTGATATTTTCTTTATGCACTGGGGCTGGAACATTTCCACTGGGACTGGGGTTGGGGTGCTGAATGGCTAGACTTAAATGCTTCCCTGTGGACAGAGAAGTGGTTCACTGCTCTGGCAATGTTTATTTTTTGGAGCAGTGAGGAGGATTGGGGGGGGGCAAATTTATTTACTCAGACTCAACTTTTCCATATCTGGCATTAGGAGCTTTGGCATCATCTCAACTCACTCAAGGGTTCCAACTCCCCATGGCCCAGCAAGTCAAGAGGAAGCTGGGACGAGAGAGAGAGAGAGAGAGAGAGAGAGAGAGAGAGAGAGAGAGAGATTGAGATGGAGAGAAAATGAGCATGAATTTCTCATTTGTAAATGTGGGCTCCTCTGATTAGTTCAGTACTCAACACAAATGAGTTGTATGTTGTGTGGATTTCTGGGGTTGCTTACTCTCCCTGCTTCTCCTTGATTGACCCTAAATTAATCCTGTATTCAAATGAGACACAGAGCCCAGCATATGCCATCCCAGTACTCACAGAGTAGAAAAGAATGGAAGATTCTAGGCCCAGTCTCACAAATAGCTCCTTGTCCTCTTGCTGGCCCGGCATGGAGCTAGTTGTCACTGAAGCTTGCCATGTGGTAAAAGCATGCCCCCTTCGCCTGGCTTCTGACATGTCCAGATCTCACAGGAATGGGAGCTGGCAAGAGCGCTCCTTATTTATAACTTCCCAAAGGCTCACCCTGAAAGAACGACGGGAGGTTTCCATGCTCTGTTTCTTTGTCTCTTCTGTCCCACACAGGTGTGTCCCCAGCCAGGTGGCACAGAGCCCATGCTAGCTTTGCATGGGAAGCCGGAGACAGACTGTTCTCTTTGCCTCTTTTGTCGGCTCCTCCCCAACACACGTCTGGATCTCAGAGACCGAGGCAGGAAGACCGTGGCAGCTTGTCCTCGGTGCTGCCAGCTTTCTGCCTTTTCATTCATTGTCTTTTTCCTGCCCTCACCCTCAGCCTCTTTCCTGTCTGCATCTTCATCATCACTGAGGATATAAAAAGCAAACCTGTAATCCCAGCCCTCCAGGAGTCTGGGGTAGGAGGATTGTAAGTTCAAGCCCATCACAGGCAACTTAGTGATTTAGCCAGAGCCTGTCTCAAAATAAACAGTGAACAAAGGGTTGAGGATGTAGCTCAATTTGAAAATGCTGGGCTCGATTCTCCCTTCCTGGGGGCAGTGGGGACACTGAGCCTGGCCTACCACAATCCTGTATGAGTGTTCGTTGATAAAGCATCGTTCTTTTCTGCATCAACAGTTTTAAATAAAAAATGATAGATAAATGATTTCCTTTCTACCCCCGGGCTTCATTTTGCTGACTCTTGAGAAAGCAGTCAGAGTCTGATAGCTTTGCTGCTATCAGCACTAAGATCACATGGTGCTGTTGGGACAACCTCCCCTCCCACCCCTGAGTAGTATTAAAATATCTCCATGTAGAGGAAAATGCTGGCCTTTCTTTTGTAAAGGACTCACTCACCACAGGGCAGGGATCCTTGATGGGCTCCTGCAGAATGTGGCAGGAAAGGCAGTGTAGACTACAGGGAAATGTGGATGCTGGATCCAGCCTGCCGGGACTTAAGTCCTTTCTCCTCCAGTTAGTAGGTGTCTCCCTTTGGGCCATGTATTTATTCCCTCTGAGCTCTGATCATTACATTTGTCAAATCAGTACAATCTGAGGAATCAAAGAGATGACACAGGTGAAGAAATTAGTGTCTGGCACATGGCTCTCAACAAATGCTAGGATTCACTACATGAGTTCCTATGATGGAAGGCCCAGAGATACTTGTTGAGTAAATGAATTCATTCTCTACACAGATTGAGTTAGGTCATCTCTGGGTAGCAACCACTGTTGATCCGTACCACCCCTTGCCTGCTCCAGTCTTTCCCTAAAGATCAGAGCTGCTTAGTTGAAAGTCCTCCACATAAAAGGCTGAATGGAACCTTCCTGCAGAACAACTGATAGCCAATCTGGAGTAAACCCCCTAGAGCCAACAGGATGAGATGTGGAATAAATTGGATTCTGATCCAGGAGTGGTGCTGCATGTCTGTTATTCCAGCACTCAGGAGGCAGAAGGATTGTTGCAAGTTTGAGACCAGCCTGGGCTACAAAGTGAGCTCAAAGCCAGCCTGAACTGCATAGCAAGACCCTGTCTCAAAAAAACAATAATAAAGATAATAATAATAAGTTGAATTCTGAGTGATTAAATTTCCTTGCAAGAATGAAAATCTTTTGATTGTAGTTGCTTAGGAGAATTTTAGAAAAACAAACTTTGACACTGAGTGAACATTTTCCCTGCTCATCTAAGGAGGAAGAGCAGCCTCAAGCTGATACTTTCCTAAGAAAAGTGGGTTTTCCATCCACATCTACAGGAAGGGAGACAGAGTGACAAAGAGCCTGAAAAACATGTGCTGGAAAGATACAGTCTTTGGCTCTGTTTTGGACCGAGATTGCTGCAGCAAGGTCTTTTAGGTCTCTATTTCCCACTCAAGGAGTTAGAAGTGCGTATAAGCACTGATTCACCCACCGTGCTGATTGCCCGGTCCCCAGCTCAACTATCACAATTTTTAAACTCAGTATTCATTTCTACCAGCATTAAGAAAATTCTAGCATGTTCTAATCTTCATTGTAATATATAGAAAGTTGATAGGTAAGTTAAGAGAAGGCAAACTCGATACGATCCCAGTTTGAGCATTTATTTTGTGCATATGGATGTATTAGTGTGAGTATAAAAGGGATAAGCCTACATACCCAGACACAAAAATAAGCTTTAGAAAAAATAGTCACGCTAATTTATAACAGACATGCTGATGATAAAAATCACGCCATTTAACCGAGTGCATATCTCATGCCTTTTCCATGCATTCTGCAAAGGGCATGGCCTGTATCATCTCACTGCATCCTTATATCCCGGTGAATCACTCTCATTCTTCATAAGAGAACTCTGATGTTCAGAAATCTGAAAGACCAGCTGGAGCTCATGCCGTTAAGCTGGGATTTGATGGCAGCTTTTCCAGGCTTCTGGGCTCAGGACTCCACCCTTACTCTGCCGCTTCTCTGAGCAGAAATGTCCCCCAAGCTTGCCACACCACCACTTTGGCTTTTCTTTGGTGTCTAAAACCTAGAAGTGAAGGGACACTGTCAAATCTAGACATCGGTTTTACATGTGCGAATTTGAAAATTTGAATTCTCCTCTCCCTCGCTCTCTTTCTCTCCCTCTTTCTCCTTCTCTGTCTGTCTCTGTCTGTGCCTGTCCCTCTCTCTTTCTCTCTCCATGCCCAGGCACAGTTGGAATGGATTAGCAGCAAAGTGAGATAAGGCCAAAAGATTTTGTGCCTACCTCTAGCCAAGAAACACTTTTTGTTAAAATTATTTACATATAGATTTAAATGATCTCGTAGACCTAACCTAAGTCTATCTGAAGTTGTTCATTGGTTTTCATGTATTGAGTGTGCGTTTGCACGTGTGCGTGTGTGTGTATTCACTTGCCTGTCTATCCCACATCCATCATGCCTGAGCAGTAGCATAGCAGACATGTGAAATATAGTTCTTGTATATTCTTCAGCTGTACCCAATCAGTACTCATGAAAGCTACTCCCACTTGCACACACACACACACACACAAGTCTCCTATTCCAGCACCTACTAGCCACATATTGCTACTTAAATTTTATATTTAAATTGTTAAATAAAATTTGATTTCTTATGCACACTCCTCACTTCCAGTGCCCAATAGACTAGTGGCATCTGTATTTTATTTTATGGGTTTTTGTTTGTTTGTTTTTGTACCAGGGATCGAACTCACAACTTCACACTTGCCAGACAGGTGCTTACACCGCTGAGCTAAATCCCCAGCCCTGCATCTGTATTTTATACAGCCTAGCTAAAGGTCACTTGCATCACTGCAGAAAATCTTATGGATGTCATTGTTCTAGAACTGAAACAACAGCTAAGAACTACTGGAAAGGCAATGATGCTATTTTGTAAAGTTCAACCTATTTTGATCAGTCCTATTTTTTCTTCTTATTGGTTTTCACAGGACAAGAAGACACTCAGAAGAAGAAGAAAGCTGGAAAAAGCAACAAGGCAGTTGGCTAAGCAAGAAGAGTTGAAAAGACTCCATAAAGCTCAGGTCAGAAACCAACCTGAGATGGGAGAGTGGGCTTGGGGTCTAGGATCCTGGGATCGGGATGGGAAAGCCCTTTGGGCGTCTGTACTGGGGACAAGCCAGCTTCTCTTCTCTGAGGGACCAGGTTTGTGGCCATCCTGAAAGCCCTGGCTTCATCCTTAGCAAGGCTCTAGGGCTGGGGAGCCCAGGTATTGAGCTGGCCCATGGCGAACCACCTTTGCGTGTGCAGTTAGAGCCTTGCAAAGAGAGGCTGAAACAATCACCAGCTGGTGGCCTTGGGGCTTGCTGGACCTGACTGACATATAATGATGGCCTTCATTTTGTCCTTTCTGTGAGGACACAGCTCTTCCACCAACCCCCTGACTATGTCTTTGTTAAACTGACAGCTATGAGGACTTGTCTCCATTGCAAGATTAGCTGAAGACATAAGTATCCAGAATTCTAGATTCTAGATTTCCTAACCCTCTGGTTTACTCCAAACATTTCTGCCCAAGGAGATCTGCCGAGTTCCATCAGAGACAGGGAAAACAAAGCAGAAAGTCTAGACATTCTCCATCTACCTGAGGATCCCAAGTGAGCCTTGAAGAACATTCGGGTTTCAGGATAATAGGACTTAGGATGACCACTTAACCCATTTACCCTTCCACCACTTTCTCCAGTTAAGCCATTGCTCTGGCATAACTGCAGTGTTAGTCACCTGCCTAGTACTATAACAGAATATCCGAGACAATGAGTTTAAAACAGATGACAGGTTTATCTGGTCTCTCAGTGTCTACATTCTAGTTCCTGATCAGTTGCCACAGTTATAGCTCAGTAGCATTAGTGCCTGTCTGGCAAGTGCCAGGTCCTGAGTTCAATTCCCAGCACCAAAAATAAAAAAAGAGTACCATGGGAAGGAAACCTTTGGGGGACATTCCAGACCCACACTATAGCATCATGTAAGTTGTTTATAACAAGAGGGAAGTTACTGAATTCAGTCCCCTGTACCTTCCTCCTGGCTGACTCGGGCTACCTGCGAGCCATGGACAGAGACAACTCCTATGAGCTCACCTCTGTCTCAACTTCTAAAATGGGTTTCCTTGGAGCATTTCAAATTTTCCTTCTAAGAACAAAACAAGTCTTTATGCTACCAGTTGGCAAACTTGGCAATTTCATACTCCAGGCGGAAAGTGGTAATAAGAGAAGAATCACAAGGGCCTTTTGAGTCCTAACCTTCTGGCACCCGAAGCGGGCCTTTTTGATCTCTTAGTTCCTAAAGAATGACCTCTGGGCCAGTGTGCTTTTAGTGCCATAGCAAAATACCACAGGTGGAGTGGCTTACACAATAAATATTTGTTTCTTCCCAGTTTTAGAGGCTAAAAGCGCCAGATCAAGGTGCTGTCAGATTTGGTGTCTGGCAAAGTCTCCACCCTGGCTTGTAGACAGGTGCTTTCCCTCCGTGTCCTCACATGGTCTTTTTGAGAGGAAAGGAAAGCACTAATGTTTCTTCTTCTTATTATGAGGGCACAGGTTTTATAAGATGAGGGCCCCGCCCTTCTGGCCTCACTAACCCTTTATTACCTCCTAGTAAGCCCTGTCTCCAAACATAGTCATGTTGGGAGTTAGGGTCTCAATGTAGGAATTTTGGGAAAATATTGTTTAGTCCATAACAACCAAGTAGCTATAACTGCATAATAATCCGTTATTATTAATAAAATTATTTAAATGTTTCCGTTCTTTAGCAATTCTATACCATACCAGTAAGAGGTAAATTTATAGATAGAATTGTCTTGAAAAGAGAGACAGGAAGAGGGCACAAAATGATTGGTAATTATAATAGAATCCCCCATACTTTACATTTTATGTTTGGGGTTTATAAGCTCATAGCTGGGAAACCAAGAGCCAGGTGAGAGCTTGGGCCTCACCCTGGTCAGATCTCCGCGTGGGGGCAGAGGCAGCTCAGCCCCTGGATACGAGACTTGAGGGAAAATTTAGGAGGATTTGGGGTTGAAGAACAAGGGGAGTGAGAGAGTTGAAGGCCAGCAGAGGAGGAACGCGGGTGCTCCCGCCTTGAATACGCCTGCTCGGTCAGGTGCAAAGCCTCTTTTGGCAGTGGGGCTTGAGAAAGCGGAGAACATTGATGGGGACGGACAAACTTACAGCTTCCCAACAACTGTCCTCCCTCATAGACCCAACAGAGGATTAAGTAGCAGGAAAATTACACATACAAATGCAAGCCCAGCCATGATCCCAGACCTTCCAAGGTGTTCATGGTGAATCTGAGCAGAGTATGAGTTACTCCTTAACGGGCTAAATAGCGTGTGTCTTGTCTTTATGACTGGTTGGTAACAAAGGCACGATGCGTGTCTACAGTGGAAGCACTGTGGCATCAGACTGTACAGCAAGAAAGAGCAGGTGCTATTTGTAGCCTGGAACAAGAGCAGGACAACCCAAAAATGAACACCACGCTCCAAAAGCTGGCCTAGGTCTCCTGTCCGGACCAGCTTGTTAGGGGGTACAGTCCTGTTCCTTCTGGGAAATAGAATGGGAGCAGATGCCATCTTCACCCCAGCCCAACCCTACTCTGTGGTAGCTGTGGCCCTGTCGCTGTGCCATGATATAGTCAGATGCTGTGGGCTCTGAGGAGTCCCAGTGCCACAAGGATCACCCAACTCCTCCTGTCTTAAAGGACACTGGTGTGATTAACAGTTTCTCAGGGCAGCAATATCACCCTCTTTCTCTTGGAGAGTCAGTGACAGAATCACCCTCCTTGTATAACTGTGTCCAAAGTCCACTGTGATATGTGACCCTGGCATTACAGGCCATCCAGAGGCAGCTGGAGGAAGTTGAAGAGCGGCAGAGGGCATCAGAGATCCAGGGTGTGAGGCTGGAGAAGGCTTTGCGAGGAGAAGCAGGTACGGTTTCCATCCTGGCAGCTCTGGGGAGCAAGCGTGGGTCTGGGTCTGCAGTCTGACAATAGTGCTGGTCCTATCATGGCCAACACCAAGGAAAACTTGTCACCCGTTTGGGATCTGTCAATATGGACAGGTGGTACCAAGTTCACATTGCTTTCCTCTTTAAAAGTCAAATTAGTTTTGCCATTTGAAGGGCCTCCTGGCCATGATCAATCTGTGGGCCTTGTAATTGGACTTCTGGTATACCCAGATCTACTGCCTTGAATGAATGTTTTTGCCATTTAGGGGTTAGGGCAGATTCAGGAGACATCACTGGGCATTCAGGTAATGCCTGTGACTCAAAGCCCAGAGTTAAAGTCCTAGTGTCTCTCTTCCCTTTCTAAACCTTGGGCTGCTTACTTTATGAACTTTCATCTAAAATGGGCACATTCATGGTTTTCTATGTCACAAATAAGATGAAGATTAACAGGGCACGATGGTGTACACCTGTAATGCCAGCACTCAGGAGGCTGAGGCAAGAGGATTGCTAGGAGTTTGGGATCAGCCTGCAACTACATAGTGAGAACCTGTCTCAAAAAAAAAAAAAAATTAAAGAAGAAATTTCATGTGATGCTTAATTTAATTAGCACATGGCCCAAGGTAAAGCAGCAGATGATAGCCATCTCCCTGAGGGCTTCAGATTCTTCTGTTCAAACACAGGACTCCTCTGGAGACAGCCTTTCAGGTACTAGATGTCCAGACACTGGGTCTGGAACCGTTTGTATGGCACAGTTTCTGTCTTGAGAAGTTTATAGCCCGGCGATGGATGCAGCATGCAAAGAGATAAGCCACATGGCAGTGGAATAAGCCCTGAGACAGGACAGCATGAGCAAGCCCTGGGAACAGACCCAGGACCTGAGGCCTGGTTTCCTGGGAGGGGACATGGAGCTGGGCATCAGAGGGGAACAGGGGTCAGCAGAGGTGAGCAGACTGTTCTGACAGAGAGAGCAGCACCTACCAAGGCCAAGGCAGGAAATATTGTAACAAAAGAGGAGCCAGCAGGGATTTTTAGGTGGGAGGGGACAAAGACAGCTACATTCTCTGGACACTGTCTGGGGCCACGTGGCTGAGGCATGGCAGGGGTGCGCAGAGTGTGCTGGGGGGTTGTCTCTTTGGTTTTGTGCCATGAAGCCTTTGGTCTTCCAAACTGGGGACCCTAAATGTGAACAACGGAACACTGAAAACTCCTGTCTCTGTACGCAGAGTCTTGGGCGAACACACTGGTGAAAGGGGAGCTTCTCAATTCTGTTCAAAGTGCAGTTACCTGAGAATGGTGATGTTAGCAAGGCAGATCCAGATTTTCTGAGGCCAGGAGCTCACACAGATGTGCAGAGGTGTGAGAGCTACTTCCAGAGCCTCCCAAAGGGCCCCCCCCCAAATAGGGTTGATCGCTGCATGGCTCCAAAATGGTCAGTAGCTAGAAGAGAAACATTAGGGGTAAACTTTTCCCCTCTGTGCCTCAGTCTCTTGCTTGTGGTGCCAGCGTGATGGTCATTCCTGTTTCTTGCATTTATAGTGAAGATTAGTAATAAACATTTATGTGAAAGCTTACCTCATGCCTAGCCCAGGGTAAATGATTAACCAGTGTTTGTTCCTTTTTTACTAAATTGCACTGTGGACTTCCTTGTAAAGAGAACCCACATTGTCCATCAGAATTAGGCTTCTTTACAGAAACAATGTGTGTCTCTTACTGCTTGGACTGAGTCATGGCCTGTCTCCATTGCTGCTATTGGGACTTTTTGGTGGGATGACCTGCCCTTGTTTGGTGTTTGGTAATATTCCCAAACAAGGAGGCTCCGCTACCGTCTTCAGGAATCTGGAGGCAGCCTGAGGAATGGAAAGGACATACTGGGAATCTAGAACATCTTTCACTTGGCTGTTAGCAACACATGCTGACTCATGGCATGGTAGGAAAAGTGTAGGCATCAGAGAGCTCTGTGTTCAAATTCTGGTCCTTCTGATTAGGCTGATTGCCCTGGAAAAGTCACCTAATCTCTCTGGCCTGAGAAGTCTCATTTGAAAAATGAAAATAATAATCCCCACAATACCTACTGGACCATTTTGAAAATTAGGGTGTTGGTGTGCAAAGTACCAGAGAGTCTACTAATGTTGTAGACACTCAAAGAACACTACCTAATATTATCTTACAAAATAGTGTTAAGGATTCACATGCATACACTTTTAAAGAATTATCTAATTGTGATAGCTTGAAATTTAAATTATAGATACCATTTATAAAACTTCTGAAAATCTCCTTCACTTTCAAATGTCAGGAAGAAGAGAGAGAGAGAGAGAGAAGCTATTTTGAGTGATACCTAAAGAAATCTGGCCAGCTAGTAGGATATTCAAAGGTGTGCCAAACTAGCCAGAAGATAGATTCTATTCATTGCCTTTATATCATTGGTAATTTAATTCTGCTGTTAAGTTTATAGGCCTTTTCTCCTTGAATGTCCTCCTGGGGTGACAGATGTAGATCAACAAGGGGCTGGAGATAAATAGAGTCAAGTCAAGGAGAGCGGCCCCAAAGGAAACCAAATGGAAGATATGCAAGCCAGGCCATCAAAATTAATACACTCTAACCCGTAATAACATTTGTGCAATAATAATATTCCTTTGCGCTCAATATTCTATCTAGGCCCTTCAAGAGATTGGCCTGTTGCTTAATGAATGACCGATGCTTATTAGGTTAAGTTGTATTTGAGCTGGCCTGTGCTGCTCCGGTTCAAATGATTTAATGGGAATTATTTAATAGGTATTATTAGGATAATTAGAAAATGATCACAGTTAGGCAATAATATTGAGCTATAAAGGTTGTGAATAACCAAATTTAGAGACAGGCCTGAAAACAGGAGTAGCCTGCGACAGTTAGGCAAGGCTCCTCTAATAATTATGTGAGCCAGCTGAAAGAGTCTTTTGTTCCTGGGAGTTATTCATTAGGCCGGCATTGAATTAGAGGAAAGGAGGGGGTTGCAGATTGAGGGCCCTGATGGCTGATGAGCAAAACAAGGCTTTGATGAGCTCCTAATTGTCAGGACAACAATTCCTGCTTTCTTTTTTTCTAACAGTCAGAAATAAGCTCCCCTGCCCCGCAGGATGGATTTCTCCCATTTTGTCCAGGAAAGAGAAACAGAGAAAAGCAGAAATCTAACAATCCGCCCCAGATGATAAACCATTGCTTCACAGCGCGTGCGTGCGTGTGTGTGTGTGTGTGTGTGTGTGTGTGTGTGTTTGGGTGTGTGTGTGCACGCGCACACGCACACACATGTGCTAGGCATTTTTAACAAAGGTCCTGGAGTCTCCTGCTGTCCCAGGTGCCAGGTAAGGATCAGCATGTGGAATGGCCTGATTCCTCTGGGTGTCACTTCTTTCTGTGTGAGAGGCCAAGCCTGGCTTTGCCAGCCCCTAAGACTCTTCTTCATGCAAGCACTGTGCTACCCATGGTTTGTTGATTGTCAAGACGGTGGTCAGTGTTACATACTGGAGCTCTGGGTTTCCAGAGTCTAGCACAAGACCACTGTCCAAACTTAGGTGGCCTGGATGCCAAACCTGGGCGTTCTCATTACCTGGAGATGAGTGGAATCTGATGAAAACTGACAGCAGCTTCAAAGGAGAAAGGAGGCATCCCGCAGGAAGGCGGAGGAGCATTATTCCTCCCGCAGAGCTTCACACCCTGTGTCAGCTGGTTGTCTGCGTTCAGCTGCTTGCTCTCTTTTGAAGCCCACTGCTTTCACCTTCACAAAGATGAAGAGATCTGCAAGGACGTTGCAGGCTGAGTGAGGCTGCCAGCAGATGGCAGCAGGGACACGCATTGGAGGGGAAAATTTCATGGAAAACCTAGCCAGGAAGAGGGAAGTAGTTTGGCTCACCCTCCATGGTTTTCATCTTGACTGCTGCTGAGGAACAGAAGGAATTGCATTTCCTGGATAATGTAACAGCAAAGAATCCTGGAAGAACACAGATATTAGAATCAGACACATCTGAGCTTGAATCTCAGTCTGGCCAGTTATACAACTGTTGCCTCTCTGCCAAATGTCCTCATCTGTAAAATGGGGCCAGTGATACCGACTTCATGGGGATGCTGTCAAGCAAAAATTAAATGCTACAGTGTGAGTAAAGCACCTGGACAAGGGCTGGCATATACACAATGTTCAAACAAATGTAATTCCTGCACTTTTCTTTTATAGCCCTTCATAAGACCCAACTGGATGGTCCACAACTTCTCAAACTGTACTCACATGTTCATTAACTCACATTCATTTATAACTTCATTCCCTGGAAGAGATTTAATTTGGTTTCTCTTAACACATGGAGTTCACACACTCGGTCCATGTAAGAACCTCAGTGCAGACTCATGCTGTACTGCAACGAAACAACTCGGCACAAGCAATTCAACATGAGAGCAAAACACCATGGTTCTTGACATGTGCCTTTTGGACAGTTTGCCAGAATGTGGGAATGGGTTTCAGGGAAAGACTATCCTTTTGGTAATCTTCCATAACTATTTGTTCTCCGTGTGTACTGAAAGACATTGAGTTTGAGGTTATGCATTCTTTTTTTTTTTTTTTTTTTTTTTTTTTTTTGGTCTTTTTCCTTTTTATCGGTACCGGGATTGAACTCATGACTGCCTGCTTGCAAGGCAGGTGCTTATGCCACTGAGCTAAATCCCCAGCTCCTTGAGGTTATGCACTCTTGACAGCCCTTATCTGTGCTGGTCACTGTGCTTTCAGGGGTCCACAGAGCAGCAAAAGAGTTGAGGTCCCTGGTGGTTCTCAAGAAGCCTGATTAAATTCAGGTGGCCTTAAAAATGGAACCACTGTTTATATTTTATTACATAATATGATCTAATAAGATGGGACATTGTCAGGAAAGAACTCTAATATTATACAGAGTGTCCAGGAGTAACAGGAATCCAGAGTTCATGAAGCAAGCAGAGAGTGCTAGACATAAACAATGGGATTCAGTGCCTTTGGGGAAGGGAGTTTGCTACTCCCTAGCGAATAGCAGAAGCACAGCAAGGTGGCACAGCTGGCCTGTCCTCAAGTCCTAGGATGTGATACGATGGTCCCAGAAGGCACCTGTGCACACCAAGGGTCGTGCTGTACCTAAAGGGGTGCAGGCAAAGAATTCAGCGGTTTTGACAGCAAGTGGTAAATGGATTCATCTCCTCTTCCTACGAAGCAAGTGGTTGTGTTGGGCCCCACTGTGGTGTCCTCAAGGATAGAAATAGTCCAAGGATGGAGGCCATGTGGTTTGGCTCAGTTAGCTCCCGGTCTGTGGAAGACTGCCTTGCTCAACAAATTGCAGCCATCCACCTATTGGGTGTTCTCTGTTTCCAACTTCACTGGCCCCTCTGTTAAAAAGTCAGAGCCCTCTGTGCAGACCAGGTGTTGAGAAGGCAGAGCTCTGAGTACATTGCATCTCTCAGGCTCCTTATACAGGAAAGGGAAAAAGGAAAGGCCTCCTGAGGTGAAAGAAAAGAAGGTCCCAGCACAGAACACACCTATAAACCCATTTATTCTGGGGCTAAGGCAAGAGGAGCACAATTTTGAGGAACAGAAGCCAAGGCAACTTAGCAAGACTCCGTTTCAAAATTTAAAAAATAGAGGCTGGGGATTTAGCTCAGCGGCATAAGCACCTGCCTTGCAAGCATGTGGTCGTGAGTTTGATCCCTGGTACCGGTAAAAATACAAAAAAAAAAAAAAAAAATTAAAAATAGGGCTGGGGATGTAGCTCAGCAGTAGAAGGCCCTATGTCCAAAATTCTACGATATTTGTTTGGTGATAGCGCACTTACCTAATATGCACTGGCCCTGATTTCAGTCCCCAGTATCCCCCCACCACATACACATACAAAGACAGAATAAACAAAGAAGAACTAAAAAGGGCAGATAAAACCTAAAATACAGCAAAAATTTTTAAAGAATTCAATGAAAACTAATCCCAGTAATTTTAAAATTCATTGATACATGTGTGATACAGCCGTCACCATATTGAAAAATTAAAAAGGAAAACCTGACTATCTTACCTATAGAAGAAAGATAATCATTTGACAAAATTCAAACCTATTTGCAGATACAAAAAAGATTTTAGCAAAAGAAGCAATAGGACTTTCTTAATTGGAAGGTTAGCTTCTGAAATCCTGCAAAACATCACTGTTGAGTAGAAGCATTCATTTAAAAATCAGTCATCAGGTTGCCTGCCTCTTGTTCCATCGTCTGTTCAGCATGGTGCAGGATGGACCAGCCAGTCTGGTGAGACAAGACAGGGCAGAACACAATATTTGCAAAGGAAGAACACATTCTTATTTTTTCCAGATGATAGATAGTCTATATTGGAAAATCTAAGTGAATGCACAAATAAACTATTAAAAATAGTAAGGACCAATAACACACTGACTAATAAGATCAAAATAGAAAAATAAGTTGTATTTCTAATGCCTCAACATCATCTTTGTCACCAACAGAATGTAATGACAAAGATGAGATCACTTATAGTAACATCGAAAATAAAAATAAGTAGATCTATCAAAAAATGCACACCACTTTTATAAAACCAATTGTAATGCTTTACTGAAAGTCACCAAAGAGAGCAAACATAATCTCACATGTATAAAAACTAGCTACAAACCAGAAGTAGCACTGTAGACCACAGGAAATAATGATTCAGAGACTACTGATTTTTCAAACAGGAAAAGTGTACTCTTTGGCCTTGTAAGCATATTAACTCCATACAGATTAAAGTTTCAATGTGAAAAATAAAATTTCAAAAGTGAAGAATCTTCTGTGACCTCAACTTGGTAGTCAATACACATCAGTGAAATGAAAAGCAACTTACTCAGAAAATGTATTTGCAAAAAACAGAACCAAGAAAGTAGTATTATAGAGTATTCTCAAACTCTTATAAATCAATAAGAAGTAAGTAAATAACCCAATGTGAAAATAGGTAAATAATAAATACATTTTGTAAAGAATAACAAATGACCAATGAATGCATAAAAACACAGATCTCATTAGTAACTAGGAAAACATAAATTCAGACTACAATAAACTTTTAAACTGTTAAAAATATGAAGATACTAATATTTAACAAGGATGAAGAAGAAAGTTTTATTTGGTGTCAGTGGGAGTGTAGATTGTCACGTGTTTGGCTTTTTGCTATAAAGCTGAATGAACGTTTGCATGATATACAATCCAAGAACTTCATGCCTAAGCATACCTTCCAGAGAAACTTGCCCGCATGGATCAGAAGACAAATACAAGAATCTTCGTAACAGCATCATTCATAATAGCAAAACCCCATTTCAGATCTCTAGTAATGGGAAAATAGATTATTTGTGGCATGGTCAGACAACTGAATGGTACTCATACAGCAGTAAAAAGGAGCATCATGAATGTGTTTTCTCAATGCATATTGAATTTAAGGAAAACAAGATGTAGAAGACTACATATGGTATGATGCCATTTCAAGAAAGCTTACAAGCAAGAAAAACTAATTTTCGAAAGATGAGAAGGTACCTAGCTTAAAAAAGTAACCTGAGAGGTTTTTCAGTAGCATCCTCTGGCCCACAGAAAGGACTCATGATTTGATGCTGTTTCCTGGGATTGTCAAGAATGAATCAGTCCAGACTTACTGCCTAGTTCCTGGATTATCATCCTCCTAGATGAGGAGCCACATGAGGCCGATGTTGCCAGAGCTCTGGGTACTGAAGACTGGCACATACATTTTTAAATGAAACAAGTTGATGGATGAGCACTAGAGCTGAGAACAAAAGCCAGTCCCTGAACTCTAGCCAGTCTGGGGAAGACATTCTACAGGGTGCTGCTGAGAGTTCCAGCCACAATTCCTCTAGTGCCCCCCTAAAGCCTCAGATCATCAGTGATAATGTCCAGTGCATGAACAAAATTGCAACAAACCCCAAATTAGGACTTCTCAGAGATTCTAAGGAGGTAGAAAATCACATCCAAAGAATTAATTATGAATCAGACAGCAAAACAAGCCTCAACTTGGAAAAACCGCATACCAATACACAAGCAGAAATATTCAGCAATACCTATAAAAGAAAATGCTTTTTTTTAAAAAACTATGACTTTAAAGAGCAGATTGTCCATTGTTCTGTTACTATTCATCCAGAAAAAGGTTACTGACCATTACATGCCAGTCACCTTAGGGTAAGCAGGCACTAAGAGGTACCAGGCTTATTGAACCAGATTATAGAGAGTTGTTGAAGAATTTCAGGAAGGATTTAAATTACTTTGCATTCTGTGGAGCACTCTGGGACAAATGTGGGTCAATAGAAATGACTGCTAATGAAAAGTTGTTTGGCTTGATATGAGGGCACAGAAGCGAGTACAGAACCAGTTGCCGGTGGAGCCATGCAGGATGAAAGGAAGGACTGAATATCTGGGCTATTCTGATGCCAGCCAGAGGCCAATGGCCTTCTGGCTACACCATTCTAGCCATGAGCTGGTTCCTCATTGAAGCAGTCATAGTCCTGACCCAAAAGGGCTGTCAGCACTATAAGGGGAGCCAGGGGGCTGGTTGGAGGTATGGGTGCTAAAGAGTATATGTAGGTGCAGGGACTCTAATCTTTCCAAGAAGTATTGATGATCCACCAAAAACAACTGACCAGATAAGACTTTTTATTAATTTTGAATTTTTATAAAGTGCATCTATGTATAATGATGTCAAGGGCTACCCTCTAGCTGGGTCCAAAGGGCAAACAGAAAACTAATCATTATGGAACTGGAAGAAAAAAC